ACAAGCTAGAATGAAAACAAGCAAAAATGAAATAAAAGTAACGACTTTCTACTTCTTGCCTTTTCTAAAAATGTAAGGAGTAGAACGTACAGATAATGTAAATCTGAAAACGTAAGAAGTAGAAGTAAAAAGTAGGATGAAAAATAATTACCCAAGTAAAGTACAGATACCCAAAAATTCTACTTAAGTACAGTAACATAGTATTTGTACTTAGTTGCTTTACAACTCTGGAAATGTGCATTTGATTAGTTCTGTATACACACGGTACAGAACATTCAGTACATTACTGAAATAGCTCACTGGCACTCATTTTGAAATCAGAGTGTTTTTGACCAGATTTTAAAAATCACAGCTCATTTTTGAAGGTCATATTGTCCACCTCTGCTCCACATCAAGCCAACCTCAGCTTGTTTTGGCAGCCACTGTCACATTTATGATTTAATCTGCTAGAGCAGTTATGAAACAAAGATAAGCAGATTTCACTGTTTTGGGCTTTACACCTGGACTTTTGCTTCATGTGCTTTCTGTCAAAGGAGGCTGAAACTGTGCAGGAGTCAAATTAGGGCTGTGTATTGGCAAGAATTTGGCGATACGATACATATCATGACAGACGGGTCACGATACGATATATCCCGAATATTGCGATACTGTAAGCAAGGCAATATATTGCGATATTTTTTGGTCCAAAAATTCTATTAAATAAAAACCTCTTACTGGAAAAAAATGAAAAACCAAAATTCATTGTCTCAGAAAATTCTGTTACATAGACATGCGCTAGCCTTCTGTAACGTGAAGGCTGACTAAAGTTGGAAAAAAGATCACACGAGACACTTAATTTGGTTTAAAATAGAGACATTCTGACAAATAAGTAACTGTTCGTAACCTTACCTCAGCTTAGAAGGCAGAGGGTGTCGGTCTTTTCTGCTCAGATTTAGCTATCGTAGCATGAAGCTAATGTTTACTCACGATGCTAAAGCTACCTTTACTCTCTGGTGCTCAAGAGGTAGAGGATCCAAATGGCTGGCTCACTGCTGCCAACTCGTGGTCAGAGGCTGAACTACAACATAAAAATGAACGGCTGGCAGGAAAATTGACATTTTAAACCTTAATAAAAAATCGATACAGGACTTTAAAATATCAATACAGTATCGGGAAATGAAATATCGCAATATTTCAGTGTATCGATATTTTCTTACACCCCTAAGTCAAATACAGTTCTGAGGTTCTTGAAACAGGGTTGAGATATACTCTGTGACTCACACAGTGAAATTAAGAACCACTGTGAATGATGCATGTAGAGTTGGGTGATATTGGTGAAAAAACATCCTGATTAATTGTCATTTAGCTCAGTGTTTCCCAAAGTTGGGGTCGGGACCCAAAGTGGGGTCCCGAAACATCAAGGTGGGGT